GTTGTGACCTCTCTTGCAGGAGTTACAGAATTTGGCCTCCAAACATCGCAACCTGGTCATTATCCCTCTCGGTAGGTTCCCTCTTGCCCCAGTTCCTCTGGCAAATGCCTGGGCACTCATCACAGCCCTGGGAACCCTACATGGGAGGGAGCTGTGGGGGGCACATTCCTGGGGGGACACAGGGGGCTCCAAGTCACCACAGGGACAATGACCTTCCCTATGTCGGCTCTGCAGAAGTTGCCAACCCTGCCAGCATCAAGGCAGCTGCAGCCAAAGTTGGGGAGCACCTGGGGGACTCAGGACTGAACATCCTCATCAACAATGCTGGAATTGTCAAGATAACCTTGCTTGAAAACGAGACACTGGAAGACATGACCGAGATTTACACCACCAACGCAGTTGGGCCTCTGCTGATGGGCCAGGTGAGACCCTCACCCAAGCTGGGCTGTCCTGGGAGAGCGTGAAGGGCTGGTGGGAGGGGGGTCCTGCTTCCACTCTGGAGCCTGATGGGCTCTCAGTTGATGAGAAGCTTGTGGAGCCATGGGCTGGAGCTCAGGAGCTGGAGCCTGGCAGGCTGGGGCAGTGGGGAGAGAAGGGAGAATGTTCTGATGCTGGTGCCAGTGCTGCCCACTGTGGAAGGAGCTGGTCCTCTCCCCTGGGCCACATCCATGTCTCCCCTGTCTCCTCTTCCTCCTCGCAGGCATTCCTGCCCTTGCTGAAGAAGGCTGCCCAGGGGAGCCCGGGCTCAGGGCTGAGCTGCAGCAAGGCAGCCATCATCAACATATCCAGCATTGCTGGCTCCATTGGTTCTCTTTATGCTTGGGAGGAGATGCAAGTTACCTCGTACCGCTGCAGCAAGGTACTGTCACACCGTGCTGGGGACAGATTTACTTCCCCTGCCCTGCCACAGCTGCAGGTCTCCTTGCAGCCCCCCCTCCCCTCCCACCACCATCCCTGCCCTGTCTCCCCACAGGCTGCTCTGAACATGCTGAGCAAGTGCCAGTCCCTGGCATACAAGGAGCACGGTATCCTCTGTCTGGCTCTCCACCCTGGCTGGGTGCAAACTGACCTGGGCAGCTCTGCTGGACACACAGT